ATTAAGCGATTAACCTAAAAATATCTACATTATGACGTTTATTATAACAAAAAAAGAGATAAAGATGAGAAGTAAAAAAGAGAAGAAGATTGATTAAAATACCTCTTGAATGAACTTTATTGAATCTTCAAATATGGAATATGGAGAAGGTGCTTTGTGGCGACCTTTCACACTACAGTATGCCTCACAAATTTCAAGAAATACAATAGGAGAGAGAGAATATAGAGATGCGACACAAATCTCAAGAAATATAATAGAAGGGAGAGAGATAGAGAATTTTCGTGCTCAAAGGAGTCTGATTCGAAATTTCTCTGGCCGCCACAAGAACTGTGCCCGAGGCTTCAATTTATAGGCATCAGATGTGGGCCGGAACGACCCGTTTTGGATTCGGAACGGCCCGTTCCGGATCTGAATGTTATGTTCAAATTACGCACCCTGGAACGGCCCGTTCTGAAAACGAAACAGCCCGTTCCAGAGTAGAAATTAACACATATTTGTCCTTTCCAGAACGGCCCGTTCCAAATTTGATTTGCTTGGAATGACCCATTCTGATATTGGAACGACTCGTTCCGAGACTCGGAACGACCCGTTTCGATTCTGGAACAGCCCGTTCCGGGCTACTAAAATAACCTTATTTGACCTTTAGGCCTTCTGATATCTTGTCTTGTTGTTTGCCTGCTTCGGGAGCTCCTGATGTAAGTCCATTTTCTTGTTTGTGTGCCTCTCGAATGAAATTGGGTGTCTACAGCTGCCCCTCTTTACTTGTGCTTTGGAATAGCTATGTGATGCGATCTTGTGTATGGGAGTAGGTCAATGTTAGGTTGGAGCTAGTTATTGTGACCACTGCAGGGTGTGGAGTTTTGTCCTAGTGTTAGAGTTACTATCTTGGGTAACTATTTGATTGTACTTGATCGACACTAGGAGAGTATTATTATTTTGGATGATTGTATATATATAGTATTATATTTTATACATAGAAACGTATTTTTTTATTATTTTTATATACATGTATGTATTTAGTTATCCAATTTAATATCTTCTCTTAGTTCACTAGTGTAATTAGTGCAATTTCATTGAGTGTAGGAACCACAGCGGGTCATTACAAAATATATTAAAATAAGAACCATTACAAATAATACTCACCTAATCCATTACTGCATCACTGGTATGGAAAGGAGGTCATCACCATAATGAAATTATGTTGGCATATAAAGAAAGGGATAAGCACGTCCCTACCAACAACCTTAGAAAGCATGGTTATCTTACATCATGCTTCTCACGATCAACTATTGCTAAAACCAATTGATGGATAAAAGAAAGCTCAAAAGGTATTACATGTGTAGCAGCAACAACTTTCCCCTTTCCAAAAATCAACCTAAACATCAACGCAAATAATTAAGTTAGTAAAACACAATTAATTAAGGACACCATTAGAATGTAGTAAATTGAAACATTAATTACCTTAAGCATGTGGACCGTAGTTAGCCTGCTCGACCATAAAATGAAGGTACTCAAGGTCTGCCCTATTGTTTGAAACTCTATAATGGGCACATGGATTCGAAAGTCGTGTTCTCTAATTCGAAAACCTTCACTCATACCATATCATCTAGAATCGCTTAGTGGTGAATGATTGACTCCAACATATACACCTTACTTATGGCTACCAACTGCTCTGGGTTGTCATCAATGTACAATTTCCCTTGTGATAGTGTCACGTCAACTGCATCCTCCTTTAATGCATCAAGGACAACACAACTCCCCTTCGTGTTGATAAGATGAGAAAAGGGAGAAAGAGAAGAAGGAAAAGGAGGAGAATGTTTGATGGAAACCCTACGGAGAGAGGAAACCTCTGAACTCACCTTCAATAGTGAAGAACTCTCTTCAAATGGTGTCACTTCAAGGAAGAAGATAAACCACTTCAAATCTCACCACACTCTTGGGAAAACAATAAGAGAATTGGAATTAAACAAATATTTTCAACCGGTTAACAAACTAATTTTCACCTAATATTGAAAGTCAACTAACTCTAAAATAGTTAACACATAACAATTTCCCTCCCTTGAAAGAATTCTTGTCCTCAAGAATTGAAAAATTGAGGAAATTTTCTAAGTAAATCATAATAGAATTCCTAAGTAGCATCCTCAACAGATTGATTCTTCCATTTTACTAAAACTTTTGTCACTGCTTGTCCCCTTTTCTTGACAAAAGTTCTATCCAAAATTGCCTCAGGTTCCCTTGCGTTGGTTGCATAAGTAATATGGCTTGGCAGCACTATTGAAATGACAACATCCCTAATATGTTTCTTCAACTGAGATACATGAAATACGTTATGAATCTGTGATGTGTTTGGCAGCTATAGTTTGTAAGCTACTGGTCCCACCTTTTCAAGTACTATAAATGGACCAAAGAATTTAGGAGCTAGCTTCTCATTTGTCCTTGTTGACAGATGTCTGTCTATAAAAATGTAGCTTCAAATAGACTAAATCTCCCACCTAGAATTAATTGTCTATGAATCCTATGTTTATTGGCCATCTGTTGTATTCTATTTTGAGCTCTTTTCAAATAAAATTTTAAAACCTTCAATATTTCCTCCCTCTTAGTAAGACTTCTATTCAACAGTTCCACATTAGATTCTCCTAGCAAATAGGGTAATGAAGCTGAAGGTGGTTGGCCACAGACAATTTTGTAGGGTGTAGCATTGATTGTTGTATGAAAAGTGATGTTATACCACCATTCAGCTAATGGTATCCACTTAGGCCATAGTTTTGGAGTATTTGACACATACACCTCAGATAAGTTTCCAAACATTAATTTGTTGACAACTTTTGTTTGTCCATCTGTTTTTGGATGGTAAGCACTTGAAAGCTTTAATTGAATCCCTTGACAAGCCATTAACTCTTGCTAAAATTTAATGAGAAAGATAGGATCCCTATCACTAACAATTGACTTGGATAGGTAAAAGGGAGAAGAGAAATGAAGTAGAAAAGTGTATAGCGCTAAAATAGAATTTTCAATTTACACGTGCCCATTTAATGTAGCTTGAGAGCCCGGGCATGCCCCAAGTTCGTGATTCGTACACAAAGAAAAAGAAGGAGGTTGCCCCTTAGAGAGACTTAGGTCATCTAATTGTAGAGCTAGTCCTCCACTTACTTGGATGTGGCATTTTAGAAGATCTCGTGTAGAGGGAAGGCCTTTGGTTTCTTCTCTCATGAAGGTGTTCTCAACCCATATCTTTCCTGAGATGTAGGAATGGGTGGAAGCGATGATAGAGCTTTCTACGAAGTCTCAAGAGGAACATTCAAGTTGTCTCTCGATTTTCAGCTCGAACAAACAGTTTTTTTTTTTTGCCTAGAACGCCCTTTGCAGGTTTTCATTCTAGCAAATTTTTAACAAGCAATGCTTCTCTCTTGTTGAAATCACCTTTCGAGAAAGCTCTAATCGCTTTGCCTTAGTGTTTGAGAGATTCGTCCTCCTCAGGTGCTTACAACTCGTTAGGAGTGTGGATTCGTCCATTCCTATTCCGCTTGAATTTCACGGTTGCACAGCTTTGCTTCCATTACTTTCGACTAACGCGCATAGGTTGTTTTCCCTTTTTATTCTCATTTATTCTTTTATAAGGAGAGATATGCTCTAAATAAATGTAATGCAGAGTGTAGAGAAAGTTGAGAATAATAAATATCAGTCTCATTGATTTGTTTATCTGTGAATGCTCAAATAGATTTTGACAGTAGTAAGCGAGAATCTATATTAGATTCTAAGAAGACTTACTTTAAAAAATATATCAAAGCAAGGGCCCCACTATAATATTTTTAAAATTAATTTGGGCTTTTCTTTAGAGTGCAGGTACTGTCGTATATTAGAGCATTCACTTCTCTTAACTTTCTATACATACTGCAACCTAATCCTCCTTAGCTAATAAAATAAAATGAATGAAATTAATGAGCTAATCTAGAATGCATGTCATCTTTTTTTTGCTTAATCTTTATCATGTTTCTATTATCTAAAGGGGAATGATGCACGGTAAAGATTTCACTTATTGATTTTTTTTTACACAAAGGAAACTACCTATATGATGGAATGCTAACCTAAGAATGTATAAAGGGTTATAAATTTTTTTTTTATTATAGATGCTATCCTATAGCTAGGGCAAGGGTAGGGTTCCACCTTTGTTCATCAAGTATCTTACGGATAAGAACGGTTAAGGAAATTCTTACATTCTCGAGGCCCGCAAAGCCCATAAACAAGAAACTATAAAACCTAAAATCCTAGAATTGAGACGGCAGATTACACTTTTGAACGCTGTGACTTTGAGGCTTGACCTAAGAAGAAACCCTAGTCCACCCTTTAGCCGGAACACAATTAACTTTTTTTTGGGAGTTTTAGAGCAATTAATTTGATTTGGCACTGGCTTTTGAGAGAAGGAAGATATAGCATAACTTTAACTAAATATTGCCAATAAATAATTAGACAAGAAAATAAGCATGCATCAGTCTATCTTACCAACAGTGTTGAACCCAAAACAAGGCATCCTGCCCCACCAATGTAAAATGAACAAACAATTAGGCAAAAAATATTCAATACAAGTTACCTCTTTGGTAGATATAAAAAGTACTCGACATGTGGCGGTGGCAACTATCGACTGTGAATTATATACAAGAACGGTTCTTAAACTATAGATAACACGTTAGACTACTCCAATAGTAAAATTTAAAAGAACCGGTTCTTATATTTAAAAACACGGTTAAGAACTCTTATTAGAAATGGGCTAAACAAATGCATTAAGCATATTAGTAGAAGGAAAAATCAGTCAAACAACCAAAATAAATGCAAGCAAGATATCCATTGAGTGGCAGCTTTAAACAAATTATTAAAAAAATGAATGAGTACCTTAAAATTTTAAGGTTTTATGATAAACGTTACACAGATTCAATCGAATAACACACGACATTGACATCGAGGACAGGTTCAGATACAGAAACAAATTGTTTCAAGTCTATTAATTTTAAAAGTCAGTGATCCAAATTGCTTAATAAATCATATAGGGAAAAGCCTAAAATGAAAATCATTCCCATCCGCAGATCACATACATAACTTCATCATAAAGGTTCTAAATGATATTATCAAATGTCCTTCAAGGGCAGGCACAAGCAATTTCCATACAAGAAAAAAAAAGTAAAAGATGACCTCAGAACCTTAAATCAGAAAAACATGGATCTGTTATCTATAGGTGATGACTTTTAAAGCAGAGTTCTTATTGAACATTTCTTAGTTTTCTCTATTGGAATCCAAGTTTTGGCTATTCATTGCAGTTGATGGCTGCATATTGCCCCCCTGACCTTGGCTCCAGTTCTGTTGATCTCTCCTTTCAACCTGCATAGTTTCTCGCCGCCGGTCATGGCGTGGCCGAGGTCTACTCCTACTGGGCTGTCTCTCCGAATATCTATACTGTGGCCTAGGAATTACCTTCCCATCAACAAATAAATCACCTGAAATTACCCACAAACAATCAACACAACCAAAAACAAAAGAACAATCCAACAAATAGCTAAAGCTCTCGCTAAATTCAAACCCTCCACTCCACTGACCTCCATAATCCTTGTTGGGAACATCAAGATATGAATCTGGCAGCACCCAAAGAACCCCAGGTAACTCTATTCAAGCATGAAAAAATGGCAACAACAGTCGGTCAAACACATGGAAAAAGTCGCAACAAAGACAAACATATTTGAGATAAAACAAAGGAAGTATTCCATAAAATAAAATTAAGCTCCATTTATATCTATAAAAGAATGAGTTGCAATGAAATTGATAGTAGCATTACCTTTGAGCTTATAAGAAAGCTCTTCGGAAATGAGGGCGCCGAAACCTGTATATGTAGAAGTGGAAACAGAGTATATCTTCTTCTTGGCCTCCTCCTCACTGCAACCAGAAGAAATTAGAGAAGAGAAAGAAGTGCGGTAAATAATTAATTAGAAGAAGGAAAAGGACCTTCCGAGAACTTGTGCTAGGGTTTTGACATAAGTGTTGACCATATGGTCGTCGGAGGGTTTAGGGTTATCGGGGAACTCCATGACGATGAGCCAGTGTTCGTAATCGCAGCCATCGAGAAGAATGGTCTCCTTGGGGGGACGGTTGCTCCAATTGGGGGAGGGGTCGTTGAGGGGAGAGTAACCCGAACCGGATGATTTGGTCCGAACCGGGAAGCGAGGGAGGAGTGTGCTTTGTCTGGTGGGGAGCAACGCGAATGCGAAGCGACAGCGAGAGGGAGAAGCAGCGTTTCTGGATGACGAACAAAGTGCTCGTGCCAGGCTGTATGCTAAGGTGCGCCGCCCGTTTGAGTAAGCCATTTCCAACCTCTCACCGCTACTCTTCACTCTGCACTCGCCTATGCTGCTTTGAAGACCTCCCTGATAAAAAATATATATAAAAAAATAAAAGGCAAGTCCCATTTTTATTTGCAACATAAATTGCTACACCATACTATCTCCATGTGTCATATGCTATTGTATAATCACAAAGAGCCATCGTGGAAATTAAATGGTAAATGAATGTCTGGACTCTGGATTCATCTACCAAGGGTATTTTTCTGATCTAATGTGGTCCATCTAATCCTATAAGAATGTATACCAGAAACACATTTACAGAACATTGCATACCAAATAATTTATCTTTGAACAATCTTCTGAAAAAACATATTACCTCCGTCCTTGATTATAAGACCCTTTAAACTAAATTACACCCTTAAATAAAATTAGTTAATTTAGTTAAAAACATTAAATTTGTCAATAACTTAAACTACTTCTTCAAAATTAACATTTTCTCCTTCCACTTAATCATTTATCACCTAATTAATATTTAGAAGAGAGATATATATGTGTCTGTTTATCTTCTCCAATCCTAAAATGAGAGATTTTATTCAATTAATTTCAAACATTTATTATCTTTAGTCTAAAAAGAATTGTTAATTAAATAAGGATATTTTAAAGAAATATAATTAATACAACTGAAAGAGAGTCTTACAAAAAGGAACAAGCAAAAGAGTGAAGAGTCTTATATATACAGAGACGGAAGTAGTATGTCAAAATATCTTCGAATGTGTTTCACACGAATGACAAATCTAGGTGGTCCATCCACAAATACCTCCTACATTGTTAAAAAAAATTAAAACAAAACCTTCAATTCTTCGAGTCACGCATTACATTATTCTCTATTCATATGTAGTTTCTCCCTTGCATTCTCACGTGAAACCCTTCAGAAAAAAATAAAAATAAAAAATTAGGGCAATTGCTCTTTTTTCTTTTCACCCACTTCATTCTCTCAGTTATATAACTATATGAGTTAATCACCTATACACTACCAGTGTAAAGTTTTTTTACACAGGCAGTCAATTAGAACCGTTAATAATACCTTTTTATCTGCTCATTTAATTAAATTAAAATTAAAAAAAATACTATTAACGGCTCTGATTGACTGCCAGTATAAAAAACCTTATACTGACAGTGTATAAGTGATTAACTCTAAGTGTATACAGCGAAACTTTTCCTACTCTTTTATTTTTTGTGCGGGGGGCTGTGGATAACAAAAATTCCTAACCACCAATGTAGCACTACCACTTTTCTCACCAATGTATTCTAATAATTCCTAAATTCAGACGCATCATCCAAGTGAGCTATATATCCATCCAATGGCACCAGAATTCATAACTCACCTTCACAATATCACCGGGAACGTAGAGAATGTTAGAAACTTTTCCTTTGTAGCGACTTGTAATTTCTATGGTAGCTTTATCACTTTGAACTTCACAAAGTGGTTGAAAGTCTTCAACATAATCCCCCTACCGATATTGCACAACAAATAAATAAAAATTTAAAAAGATGTCTATGCCAAATAAAACAGAATACAAGGCTCCTCACAACAACCAACTTCCGCACCAAAAATCACTACTACTGACTTAGCAAAAGGTAAATGTTTTCAGAAATTGAGAGTCTCCAGAGCCACTTTTGAATTGAAAAAAAGGTATGTTATTATTGAGTCAGTCACCTCTTGGACATGCCATTTGAGAAGCTCACATTCTGCGATGCCTTCACCAGTTTGCGCCAACGGCACGTCCACAATCTTGGTCGCGGGAAGGTCGAGGGCAGGTTGAGTGGAAAACCAATATCTGTTGGCACGTGCGAAATTGGGCTACAAACAAATCGGAAATTGAAATGAAATAATGGATTAATTATTAGTAAGAAGAGATGCATCGAAGTGAAAGGGGAGAGAACTGACAGTGACAGGTGAAGAAGGAGCATTAGGTTTGACGAAGCGAAAGGGGAGCGCAGGGGAAGAGCGAGAAGTAGAGGCAGAAAAGAAGGTCTGGGCGGAGATGAAAGCCCTCTTCTGCCATATGCGACGGCTGAGCATCTTGCAACGGCGGAACGAATTGGGGGGAATTAGTGATTTTGTGGGATCTAGGTGATGTTGAAATAAAATATTTGAAGAGAAAGGAATAGAGGATAGTCCCACTATCATGTGATACATACATATTTTTTTTATTAAAAAATAATATATTTTAAAAAATAAAATTTATATTTTAATAAAATAAATATATATTTAAATTATAATATAAATTTATAGGAAATATTTATTTATTTGATATTTTAAAAAAAAATTAAAAA